AACGTCCCAGTGGCTTTTAAACCCCAAAATACATTAAAGACTGGTTCATCCCAAAGATCCAGTCCCCCGGCACAAACAGAGTAATGTTGTGTATGTTGTTCAGTGTCAGGAGGGTGATCAGTCTTACATCGGGGAAACTAAACAGCCACTGGCCAAAAGGATGGCCCAGCACAGAAGATCAACATCATCAGGCCAGGACTCTGAGGTCTACACTCATCTCCAGGTCAGAGGTCACTCTTTCAGGGATGAAGATGTTCACATCCTGGACAGAGAGGAACGATGGTTTGAGAGAGGAGTAAAGGAGGCCATCTTTGTGAAAAGAAATCGTCCATCGTTAAACAGGGGTGGAGCCTCCGGGTTCAACTGTCCCCCTCTTACAATGCTGTGATTGCTAGTATCACTCAGCCCTCTGTGAATAGTAAACAGCCATCAGGTGCTAATGATCCATTGTTAGGCTGATGGTCCTTCTTGAGCATGTGATCAGCTGGTTCTGGTTGTCAGCAGCAAAACTGGTTGATCCACTCTGAGAAGGTGCTATTTAAGAGACTGAGCTGAATACAGCACCTCAGACTGAGGAAGTCCTCAGGATGAGAGACGAAACGTTTCTACAGTTTTTTGTTTTGTTTTGTTTTTTGAATGTCCAGAGGACCAGATTGAACTGTTTTAGATAAAAACTAAATGACTAACATTATAGAATACAGACGAGTTAAATCAGCTCAGAGTTAAAATCAGGGAATCAAAGTTTTTAAACGAGACATAAACAGTGATAGAGGATCCTGACCTGCAGTGGTAACTCAGTCCACAGTTTGGACCTGCAACAGAGAAGGTTCTGTCACCTCTGAGCTTAAAACAAGTGACTGGCACCAGTAGAAGCATCTGGTCTGACCTCAGAGAGGCTGTGGGACATATGGCTGCAGCAGATCAGTGAGATAAGAGGGGGTGGGACTGTTCAGAGATTTAAAAACGTACAGAAGGATTTTAAAATGAATTCAGAAGTGAACTGGGAGCCTGAACTGGTGTAATGTGCTCTCTTTTGCCTGGACCAGTTAAAAATCGGGCTGCAGCATGTTGGACCAGTTGTAGTCGTGCAATGGAGGTCTGACTGATTCCAAACAGAAGAGCGTTGCAGTAATCGAGCCTGGATGTAATGAACACATGGATCACTGTCTCAAGATTATTTTGGACAGTATGAGCTTCAGTTTAGAGTCGACTCAGCTGAAAAAACAGGATTTAACAATCATGTTTACATGACTGTTAAGTTTCATGGAAGAGTCCATTCACTCCCAGATTAGTGACTTGTTTCTCTAACGGAGCTAGAGAGGAGAGGTCGATACTGTGGTTCTGGATCGTGCTGTTAGGTGGAAACAACATGACTTCAGTCTTATGAGAATTTAAGAAATTTAAAGCCAACCAATCCCTGATGTCAGCCAGGCAGTCAAGTAGGGGTTGAACAGAACGTGCTCCAGTGCTTCAGAGGGAAGTAGATTTGACAGTCATCAGCGTAGAAATGAAAGGGAAGGTTATGTTTACGGAAAGTAGCACCAAGTGGTAGCAGGTATAAAGAAAAGAGAAGAGGACCGAGGATGGACCCCTGCGGTACCCCCCACTGAAGAGCTGCTGATGTTGAACTAAACTCCTTAACACAAAAGGTTCTGTCAGAGACGTAGGACCTGAACCATTTGAGGGCTGACCCTGTGATGCCCACCCACTGCTGCAGCCTAGAAATGAGGATCTTGTGGTCGATGGTGTCAAAAGCAGATGTGAGGTCCAAAAGGACAAGCGGCTCAGAATCACCTGCATCTGTGGATCTGAAGATGTCATTAAAAACCTTCAGTAGAGCAGTTTCAGTGCTGTGGAGAGATCTGAAGCCTGATTGAAACACCTCTAAGAATGATCCTCCAGGAAACATTTGAACTGGGATTCAACTATTTTTCCAGTAGTTTTGAGACAAATGGGAGTCTGGAGACAGACCTGAAGCTGGACGCCACTGAGGGGTCATGGTTAGGTTTGTTCAGCAGAGGTTGAACAGCAGCGTGTTTGAAACATTTTGACACCACACCTGAAGTTAAGCTGCTATTCACAACAGAGAGAACAGAGGGGCCCAGAGAGGACGAACCTCATTTAGAAGATGAGGTGGAACAACATCAAAGGGTGAAGCAGATGACTTCATGCTGCACCTGACCTGCTCCAGAGAAGACAGATGGTCAAACACAGCTGCACATGACATGAGATGGATGGACCATGAGCTGGTGGAGAAATGTGTTCCCGGGTGTTCACGACATTTTTAAAAAGAAATGCAGAGAGTTCTCAGAGTTCAGCTGAAGCTTCCAGAGGTGAAGGTTCACTGAGGTGAAGCACTGAGTTCAGGGTGGAGAAGAGAACTCTGGGGTTGTGAGAGTTGGAGACGATGACATCAGAGAAGCAGCTTTTACTGCTTCTGATAAACATCAACTCTCTCTGCATTTGAAAAGAAACCTGCAGCCGCTCTTTCCTCCACCTGCGCTCCGCCTGACGCTCGAGTGACGTCATTCAGCCACGGTTCTGATCTGAGCTTCGGTTGTCTGGTTTTAACCGGAGCCACACGGTCCAAAACATCTAAACACAGAGTGGAGCTGAAGTGTTGGCTGCTCCATCCTTCCACAGTTATAGGACTCTGGGCAGATGGGCCGGGTCCTCTGAGGACACCTGGACAGATGGGCCGGGTCCTCTGAGGACACCTGGACAGATGGGCCGGGTCCTCTGAGGACACCTGGACAGATGGGCCGGGTCCTCTGAGGACACCTGGACAGATGGACCGGGTCCTCTGAGGACACCTGGACAGATGGGCCGGGTCCTCTGAGGACACCTGGACAGATGGGCCGGGTCCTCTGAGACACCTGGACAGTGATCGTGTCCCACCTGTCCTCAGGTAGCTGCTACCCATGTCCAGAGATGGTGGAGCTGAGCTGCTCCTGCGGTTCGACAGTTCTGCTGGTTCCGTGTGGGCGGGAGAAAACCACCAGACCACCTCGCTGCAAGGAGCCGTGCAGGTACGCAGTGTCTTCGTCCTGAGGGTTCTGTTGGGTTCTAGATGTGACCGGGCCTCCTTCTGTCCTCAGGTCCCCGCCCTGCTGCCACCACCCGACCAGAGAGTGTCACCGGTGCCACCCGGGCCCCTGCCCCCCCTGCAGACAGCTCTGCCTGCTGCCCCTGCCCGGCTGCAGCCACACCTGTCCTGAGTCCTGCCACGACCTGGTGCTGGTCCGGTCCCAACAGGTCCGTCTTGTTCAGTTCCTCCACCTGATCATCATCTGTGTGTGAAAACAGTTTGGACCCAGAACCCCCCCAGCTGTTTGAAGGATGGTTCCTGTCTCCAGACTAAACCCCCTCTGGTTCTGTCTCTGGGTCTGCAGGTCCAGTTGGCGGGTCCGTGGGAGCAGCCATCAGAACCAGCCTTTGTGAAGAAAGCTCTGCCGTGTCCAGCGTGCCAAGTACCCATCCCAACGTAAGTCCAACCGGACCAGAACCAGAGGACCAGTCGCTTCTGATTCTGGTGTTTGAGCTTCATTTGGAAGTTCCAGCTGATTCTGGGTCAGCTGCCGTGAGTCACATGACGGGCCAGCGACCAATCAGCTGCTGCATCACTTAAATCAAACTCATGACTAAAACCATCAG